GTCCAGAATCCCAGCTAAGGGAATGGAAGACTCTCCCACCGTGGGAAGGTCAGAGCATAACCAGAGATAATCTCTTACAGGTATGCCTGGAGGCTTGTGTCCTAGGTGATTCTAGATCACATTCAAGTGACAACACTAACCATGCATCTCCATCCTTTGTGAGCTTGACACACAAACCTAACACTTTTACATTTATTTCTTTTTATTTTATGTGTATGGGTGTTCTCGCTTCATGTATGTGAGTGTACTCAGGCATAGAATGCCTGAGGAGGCTAGAAGAGGGCATCAGATCCCCTGGATCTGGAGTTACAGATGGTTGTTAGCTGCCATATGAGTGTTGGGAACTGAACCTGGGTCCTCTGCAAGAACAGCCAGTGCTCTTAGCCACTGAGCCATCTCTCCAGCCCCAAAACATATCACTTTTTTAGCCATAAGTTTCTACTTCTTGTCTCCAAAGTCTCATGTCTGTCTCATAATGCAAAATACAATCCAGCTTTAAAAGTTCCCATAGTCGCTGGGCATGGTGGTGCATGCCTTTAATCCCAGCACTTGGGAGGCAGAGACAGGCGGATCTCTGTGAGTTCAAGGCCAGCCTGGTCTACACAGCGAGTTCCAGGTCTGCTGGGGTAACAGGGAGACCCTGTCTCAAAAAGAACAAAAAAAAAAGTTAAATTAAAAATAAAATAGTTATAGCTCCAGGCATGGTAGCACATGCCTTTAATTCTAGCACTCAGGAGGCAGAGGCAGGCTGATTTCTGAGTTCAAGGCCAGTCTGTTCTACATAGTGAGCTCCAGGCCAGCTGGGGCTATAGGAAGACCCTGTCTCAAAAAGACCAAAAAATAAAAATAAGATTGTTACATACTTTCAACATGTAATGCACAGAGTAAACAGGCCTCTTCCAAGATGGAAGAACAGGGCAACAGCGAGGAAGATTGGACCAAAGGAAAAAACAAACACCAAACCCTATAGCTCCATGTCCAGCACCTGAGACCTGTGATGAAATTAGCTGGTCTCCTAGGGAATGTGGTGGTCATACTCCTCCAGCTCTGCTGCCTGTAGCACAAAGCCAGATTCTGAACCAAAATATGCAAATGTCCCAGTTCCTCACAGAGTCCTTGTTCCCCTCTGAAATCTCATGAGCTGGACCTAAGAGCCACATGTTCAGGAGCAATGGCCCCTGTTCTTCATACCAATTTTCTGTCTCTTCCTTTTGCTGTGATCAAATGCTCTAACAAAAAGCCATTTAAGGGACAGCTTTGGTTCACAATGCCAGGGGACAGTCCATCATGGGTGAGACATCACAGCAACCAGAGCTTGAGACAGCTGGTCACATTGCATCTGCAGTCAGGCAGGCAGTGATGAAGGCTAGGACTCTGCCGCCTGTCTGTTCATTCATTCCAGAATACCAGCCCAGGGAATGGTGCCACCCATAGTGGGCAAATCTCACTAGACTAACCTAACCTAAAGAATTCCTCCCTGGGTGATTCTAGATTCCATCAACTTGACAATTAGCTTTTATTATTATTTTATGTGTACAAGTGTGTTGCCTGTATGTATGTGAGTGCAATGCCACAGAGGTCAGAAGAGGGCTTCATATTCCCCTGGAACTGGAGTTAAAGACAGTTCGTAGCTGCCATGTGGGTGCTGGGAATTGAACCCAGGTCCTCTGCAAGAGCAGTCAGTGCTCTTAACCATTGAGCCATCTCTCCAGCCCCAACAATTAGCTTTAACCATCACAGGGTACTTTGTTATACTTGGATAGAAAGCGTAGGTGGGCAAGGGACAGGTCTTCAATGGCTGGTCTCTGGCAGCTTTCATTTCCCCCAGGATTGGGTAGCAGCAGCAGTAGACAGCCAGAAACCACAGCAAGAGGCATGCTCTAGTGTTATAGCCCTCGTGCAAACTCAGGTATCGGGACTCTCAGCTGTTGGCAGCAGCTAGTGTTGACAGCTCTGTGGAACTCGTCCTGCAACCAGGGCCCGAAGCTTCTCTGGCTTCTCACGGCTCCAACCCTCTTTTCACCTCGGCTCTTGGCTCTCCACCTTCTCTCATCATCTCTCTCTTCCTCCATCTTTCTTTTTCCTATCCTGACTACTCTTGAACTGTCCAGCTCTGCCTCTGCCTCTCTCCGCTGCTTAGTTCTTGCTGTTACCAGCTCAGTCACAAAGCAGGCAAGGAAAGTCCAACCAGTGTAAGCCTTTTTTTAGGCCTGATGTCGCAATACCAGGAAGGCTGCTCAGGAGTGTCTTCCAGCTGACTCACTGAGTAAACTTAACAGCCTGTTTTATATAGACAGAGAAGGAATGCTTGAACCAATCGTAGCCATCTGATTGAGACCAATCACAGCCTTGCCTCTCAGCTCTAGCCTTTAGTAGCCACTCTGCTGGATCACCAGGGGATGATCTCCCCCCTCTGGCAGGTAGAAATGGTTGCAGGCTCACCTGGAGTTCAGTGAGGCTTGTGAGCGTACCAGATGGTACCAACTGTCTAACAGCCGGAGCTGAGGCTGTGCCTTCAGGAGCTGGAACAATCAGTTGTGATCTTGGAGTAGTTGTCTCAAGGCATCCAAGAGTCCTCAACACAGCTGTGGCTGGCACAAGCCTAGATCTCCTGTCTGTGAGCAGAGTCCATTGCTCCAGGGCACCGAGTGAGAATTCAACAGTGCTAATTAGAGAATTAACTTGCCCATCTCCAATATCTTTGCTTATTTAAAGAAAATGATTACCAGAAGGAATGTTTATGATGCAAATACATAAAGAACTTAACTTAATACTAAGTAATTTTCAACAGACTTGTATGTATGTGTGTGCCATGTATGTGTATTATATGCATGTGTGTTGGGGGGCACCCATATGCCTTTGGATGCCACAGGTCGTCATCTGGTGATCTACTATATCATGCTCCACCTTTATTCCCTTGAGACTCAAGATTCAGATGGGGAAAAAATTCAGATTCCTTGAATTTGGAGCTGGACTAGCCATCAGCAGGCCCATGAATCCTCCCGTCTCCACTTCCAACAACGTGCAAAGCCATGCTTGTTTTTTTATGTGGATGATGATGATTCAAACTGGGCCCTCGAGCTTGAGCAGCAAGTCTTCTTACCTACTGAGCCATCTTCCCAGCGCCAGTTTTTAATAGATTTTTAACAATGCTTTAACAGCACATACCTGTCTAGTACCCCAGGGAGAAGTGGGTCCCCCTTATCTTTCTCACTACCACTGAAATATATCTCCAGTCCTTTATCATTTTTTTTTTTTTAAAGACAGGGTCTTCCTGTAGCCTCAGCTAGCCTGGAGCTTGCTATGTGGACCAGGCTGGTTTTGAACTCACAGAGATCCACCTGCCTCTGCCTCCTGAGTGCTGGGATTAAAGGTGTGCACCACTATGTCCAGCTAACCTTTTATTTTTGATGATGTACAAATGATTATTTTTATCTGGTTTCTGTATTTTGGTGTCTAAGAAAACATCACCTGGCAAAGGCAATGATGGTTTTGAATAGTGCTGCTAAGAACACTCTGAATGAATAATTAAATCTCTGAATATTTTCTTCTCAGAGTTTATAGTTCTGGGTTTTACACTGAACTGTTGATTCCTGTGATGGTTAATCTCAATTGTCAACTTGGTGAGATCTAGAACCACTTGGGAGACAGGCTCTGGGCATGCCTGTGGGGGGTTATCTTGGTAAGGTTAGTTGAGTTGGGAAGACCATTGTTCAGTGTATAAGGGCATTGTTTCTTGGGCTAGGTTTCTGGGCTGTATAAAAAGGAGAAAATGAGAGTTGGGTATGGTGGTGTATGCCTTTAATCCCAGCACTTAGGAGGCAGAGGCAGGCAGATCTCCACGAGTTCCAGGCCACCCTGGTCTATGTAGCGAGTTCCACACCCAGGTAGGGCTGCAGGGAGACCCTGTCTCAAAAAGACCAAATAAAAGGGGGTAGGGTAGAAAATGAGCTGAGAAACTGAAGAATGACCAAGCAAGAGAATTTAGCTTAGAGTCATTGTCGAGATTATAAACCTTTAAAATATTCTGTAAGGTGAGGGTGCATCTGTAATGCCAACTATTTGGAGACTAGGCAGGGGAACTTTCCTCTGAGTCAGAAATTTTAGGTCATCCTGGGCAACATAGATACCCTACCTCAAAAAAGAGTGGTGCAGAGGCAGGGCTAGAGTTCAGTTGGTAGAGTACCTAACAAGCCCAATGACCTGGATGGGTTCCATCTTAACACTGCATAAAATGAGCACAGTAGACAGGCCTATAATTCTCAGTACTCTGAAGGTGGAGGCAGGGGGATCAGAAATTCAAAACCATTCTCGGATACATAGCAAGTTCAAAGCCAGCCTGGATTATATGACAGTCAGTCTAAAAGATAACAAAAAACCCCCCAAAACAGTATAGCATTCTGGGAAATATTAATATTCTTTAGTGGTAACTCTAATTGTAGTCTGTACCCAAACAGTTCTGAGTAATTAGTTCAATTCTGAACAAGAGAATTCAAGGTACACAGTTTTTTTTTTTTTGGTCTTTTGGAGACAAGGTCCCCCTGTAGCCACAGCTGGATTCACTATGGAGAACAGGCTGGCCTTGAACTCAGAGATCTGCCTGCCTCTGCCTCCCAAGTGCTGGGATTAAAGGCAAGTGCCACTATGGCTGGTGTACTGCTCTTTAACCTATCATATTTTTGTTCTGTTTTGCTGTTTTTGAGACAGCATCTCACGAAGAAGCCCTGGCTGGCCCGGAACTCACTATGCAGCTCAGTCTAGACTCATACTTGCAGCAATTCCCCTGCCTCTGCTTCCCAAGTGTTGGGATTACAGGTGTGAACAAAACCCAGTCTTATTCTGTCATGTGTATTGGAGTGGTAAGGCTGGATCACGACTTGGTGAGGAGAAGGGCACTGTGCTCCTGAGACCCCCCCCCATCTTTGCTCTCTGAAGCCCCCAGCTACTTGTCCCATCCTTTCCCCAGGCAGGGGAGCAGGTGGTGAGCACAGAGGAGACAGTTTAAGGTTCACTCCAGGCTGGGCTGCAGCCAGGTCAGGCACCTGCTTTATTCAGACAGGATATGCTGGTGGAGATTCAGCCCCAAGCTTTCCAGACCACAAAGGCAACAGGGAGCAGGGCTGAAATCTAGAAGATCGCTGCGTTCATGGAGACAGTCAGAAAAGACCACATTCAGTCAGCATAAGGCAAAGACTGGCCAGGTATGACAAAGAGGCCACAGAAAAGCCCTTGGCAGCCTAGCCACACTGGGCCTAGCGGAAGTAGTTGGGACACTCGTGTGCAACCAGGTGCCAGGCTTGGTCAAAGGCGTCCACGACAGGTGGCTCCAGGGGCCCCTCCTCGGTGGCAGCCAAGTTCTGCTCCAGTTGTTCCAGGCTGGACATGCCCAGGATGACTGCGTCACCACGGGTGCCCTGCAAGGGGAGATGGCCAGATCTGGGCACACTTCTGCCATTTGGTCCCTCCCTGCCTGTCCCCTGGCAAGATTTAGGATCTTCCTGTATGTCCTAAACACACAGAAAGGACTGATGGTGTCTTTGACAGTTGAACAAGTATAATGCCGTACCTTGCTCCCTGTTGCTGAAATTCTCTGGATAGACATAAATAAAAATCTACTCCCTCTTTACAGGACACTGATGACCAACCAAATTACAATTCCACCAAAGTCCATCTTGGGAAAACAGCAAGTTTATCTGGCTTAGAAAGCATAAATGACAGGGTACCTGCAGGAGGGTGGGTGACAGTAAAGTGGCACCACTGAAGTCTCACCCCAGTGTGGATGACACCCTTCCCCCAGCTGCATAGACTGAGTCCCTTCCACAGTCTACATGCTCTAGCACCTCCCACGACTAGGAAGCCACATGCTGTTAGGATAGAATTATGTACAAATGGCTGGAATAGCAGGTGAGGGCCCAATGGCCCTTTCCGTCCCCTCCTTCTATGAGGGAATGTGGACATTCAACAAACCCCATCTCAGAAGTCTTTTGCAAGAGCAGCAAGTCACCGCTGCTCTGATGAAGATGACAGCTGTAATGCTCTGTGGATAGCATTCCATGAGTGCACACACGTGCGCACGCACACACACGCACACATCCTCATCTCCCTGCTCATCCACATAGGCTCAGTAAGTTATCTTCAGTAAATGCCCAAGGTATTTTGTCTCTCTGAGACTCCATTTTTATTTTTAGTGTGATTACTGGGGCCATTTATTTAGCATCCATTTGCTGACATTCAATGGGTGTCAGACACTATGTCATTGCCTCAGGCTGAAGCTGAAGGAACTTCACCAGGAAGATATGGCCCCCACTGGAGGACTAGGACCTATGTATTGAGAGCTAAACTTACATTGATATCTAGCCCCTTAATAGGACTACATGGCCTCCAGGTTCATCAATAGTGCTAATAATAATTCCTAAGTCCTGAGTGATAGGTGCAAAGCTCTGAGAAGCCAGACACAGATGACAACAAAGAACACAGGCAAGAGTGCCATGAAGTGGAAGGTATTTAAGATGCTGTGTGTGCACGCATGTATGTGTCCATGTGCATGTGGGTGTAGAGGCCAGATGTCAACTTTGGGAGTTATTCCTCCTCAGGGCAGACATCTACTTGTTTCTGGAAGCAGGGTCTCTCCCTGGGTCCTGCAGCTTGCTGGTTAAGCAAGGCTAGCTTGTTGGTGAGCCTCAGAGACCCTCCTGTTTCTGCCTCCCTAGATCTGGGCTCACAAGTGTGTACCACCATGCTCCGCTTTTTAAGTGGGTTCTAGGGATTAAAGTCAGGACCTCATGCTTTCCTGGCAAGCACTTTACAGCCCTTGAAAAAGCTCTCCCTTTAGAAACCACCCAAAGCCAACTCTGGGTCTCTTAAAAGGGTTGGATGGACTACCTGGAGCTGTGAGTGGTGGTACATCCACCTCAGGGCGGCCGAGGTCATGCTGGGGGCACTGGCGCCATAGGTGGCCTGCAGGGACTTCTCCACCAGAGCAATGGCCTCAAAGTGGTGCTCCTTCCAGAAGCTGTGTGGTGGGAAGAGAGGCACAGGCTGAGCACCTTGGGTCACACTGCGGGCTGTGGCCAAAGTGCCTACCAAGGCAGCAACAAGAGGAGCACCTCCGACGGAGGGCTCGAACTTCCTGGGCTCTGACTCCTTCACTAGAGACATCAGCGACCTTGTTGTTTGTGAGAACTCCTAGAACTGCCCACCTTTCACCCAGCAAAATAGAGAAGCTACTGCAAGGGCCCCTGAGCCTCCACCCGAGGTCCTCTCTCCATCCTGGCTGGTGATGTCTCAGGAATAGCAATGGCTTATACGACCACATGGTCTGGGTTGGGGAGGGCTCTCCTTCCCTCACAGGGGTCCACACGAGAAATCCTCAGTTTTGGTATTTCTTATAGGAATCAAGAGACATAGATGGAGGCAACAGTGGAGGCTTTATCAAGAGGGCAGCCTAGGACTGCATGGAAGATAAAGGGGACTTCCCACCCCACCCATCCTGCTGCAGAGCCCCAGCTCACCGGTTCCTGTAGGTCTCAGCCCAGTTGTTCCCAAAGAACCGGCCCACAGGCTGCTTCCCGTCCTTGTCTTCATACCTGTACTTGCCCGTCAGCAGGCCCCCTGCAGGAAGGCTGACGTCAGACCCTGCCAGACTCCTCCCACAGGCTGCAAGGGCCCTCCCTGCTCTGAACTGGGGCATAAGACGGGTCCCAGAAGGATGGGAGACACAGCCCAGCCTCTTGCTAGTGCCTCCACACTGCCCCCCACCCCCTCCGCTATTTTGCAGGGGCTGTACTGGGTATCCACCTGAGCAGCAGCAGGCAGAGATGGGTCAGGCATGCCCACCCACCCACAGGGTCTGCCCCCATGGCATCTCATACCAGCCAAAGGGTTGTAGGCATAGAACCTCAATCCAAAGTTCCTGAGGCAGGGGAAGAGCTCCTTTTCCACCTGCCGGGTGGTGGCGTTGTACATGCCCTGCAGGAAGGAGAGGGGCCATTAGAAGGTGTGGCATGGATGTATCAAGGGAAGGGACCCAGCCTCCTTCTTTTTAAAAATAATTTTATTTTATTATTATTATTTTTTTTTTTGGTCTTTTTGAGACAGGGTCTCCCTGTAGCCCTAGGTGTCCTAGAACTCACTATGTAGACCAGGCTGGCCTTGAACTCACAAAGATCCACCTGCCTCTGCCTCCCAAGTACTGGGATTAAAGGCATGTACCACCAGGAAGTCTTTCTTTTTTAAGAGAAGAATCTTGATATATCCCTCAGGCTGTTCGAAAATTCCTGGGCTCAAGTGATCCTCCTGTCTCTACCTCCCCAGTAGCTAGGGCAATGGGCCTTCACCTTGGGGCTGCTCAGTCCTCCACTTTTTAATTTTTTTCTGTGTGTGGTATATGCACATGTGTGTGGCACATGCACATATATGCAGGTGCAGAGGCCAAAGGAAGATGTCAGATGTCCTGCTCTATCACTCTTTGCTTTAGAGTCTCTCACTGAGCTGAGGACTAGGCTGCAGCCAGCAAGCCCAACAACGCTGCTGTCTCTGCCTCCCACAGCATCAGGGTTACAGGTGCTCACAGCCACCCCGGATTTTTACATGGGTACTGGGGGTCAGAATTCAGGTGCTCATGGCTGTGCAGCAAGCCCTCTTACCCACTAAGCCATCTGTCCTTCCAGCCCTGGTTTTCATTTTGTGAGTCTCACTCTGCAGCCTGGCCTGGGCTGGACTTGAATTTATAGTGATCCTCCTGCCTCGGCCTTCCAAGTGTTGGATTACATGTGTGTGCTATCATCCCAGACTTGAAGTTTTCCACTTTAAAAACTCTAAATCCACATCAGTTCAGGACTTCAGCAATTATTTCTAAAATCATTAGTGGTGCTACCAAATGGGGAGAGGGTGTCAGGTACAGGGAAGGGAAACTGGCCTAGATTATCATTCTACAATATCCATAGGCCTCCTCTATGAGCTGGATGCTGGATACACAACTACTTGCAAGTCTAGCAAATTCTCTGCTTCCAAGAGATATAATAGTCAAGTTAAAAATATAGACAGTAGAGGCCAAGGGTGGTGGTGAATGTCTTTAGTCTCACCCAGTACTTGGGAGGCAGAGGCAGGTGGATCTCTGAGATTAAAGCCATCCTGGTCTACATAACGAGTTCCAGGCCAGTTGGGATTACAGGGAGACTTTGTTTCAGAAAACAAAGCAAAACAAAATTGTACAGACACACATACACAGAGTAGGCCAGGTGTGCTGGTACACACCTTTAATCCTAGAACTTAGGAGGCAGACACAGATGGATATCTTCAAGTTTGAGGCCAGCCTGATCTACATAGTGAGCTCCAGGCCAGCCAGGGCTAAATACTGAGATTATATATAGACAGTAGGCTGAGGTGTAGGCCAATGATAGAGTTCTTGCCTAGCATGTAACATGTCCTGGGCTCAACCTCCAGTACACCAAAAATAAAATCAACAACAAAAACCAATTACAGAGAATTACAGTAAATGGAGGTGCTAAGACAAAGTAGGCCCTCAAAGGGTTCACTCTGTATAAAGCTGTAGTTCAGAGTGGAGGATCCTGGGGGGTGTGGGGAGGGGATTCTCAGAGAAGAGTCATCTAAGCAAGAGCTGAGCACTTCTTCCAGGAAGTGAGGGGTGTTCTAGGCTGAAGTGCAGGACAGGCATGGAAGGAAAAGAGCAAGATGTGCACTTAGGCAACAACTGAGCAAATACCCATTGGCCAGGCTCGGGAGTTTGGGCATCAGTGAGAGACTAGGGAGCTACTGCTATGTAGAGGGTATGAGACGGTCCAAAGGACAAGGAAGTCCAAGATCAGCAGTGCCTTAGAACCTGGAGCCTGGGCAGCCCCAGCACATCATGTGTCCCTCACCTGGTACACAGTTGGCAGGATCCAGCCATTGCTCTTGCAGAGGGTACAGATCTCAGCCACCTCCCAGGAGGCATAATTGGACAGGCCAAGCTCCACAAACTTGCCCTGCAGGGGAGAGGCTGTCACAACCCAGCTCAGTCCAGGAGACCAGGAAGGGGAGACTAGTGGGAGTCAGGGAGGGGGTCTGTATCCAGATCTGTCCTGGGTGCCTGGAGCCTCACTGTCTTGGCAGGGTCAGGAGAGGAGCAGAGCCCACCTCCCTGAGCTCAGGGCCCTCACCTCCTGGTGCAGCTGGTGGCAGGCCTGCAGCGTCTCCTCCACAGGGGTGCCGTGGTCAGGTGCGTGTAAGTAGAAGAGGTCCACCTGGGGACACTGTAGCCGCTTCAATGATGTCTCCAATTGGGACCGGACACTGTCAGGCTTCAGTGACTTCCCATCCCAAGGGTTGGCCTTGGTGGCAATTTTGACTTGCAGGAAGAATGTCATGATTAAGAGATTCATTAGAGCCACTTATTGGCCATGTGTTTCTCCTAAATTCCTTAAGCTCCCTGAGTCCTTATTTCCTAATCTGCATAGTGAGGTAATAATGCAACTGTCCTCACATGGAGATCCACAGGGATTAAATAATCTGCTTTAAAATTCCAGGTAGTTGGGCTGGAGATGGCTCAGTGGTTAAGAGCACTGACTGTTCTTTCAGAGGACCTGGGTTCAATTCCCAGCACAACATAGTAGCTAACAACTGTCTGTTAACTCCAGTTCCATGGGATCCGCTGCCCTCTTCTGACCTCCGCAGGCATTGCATGACAAGGGTGCACCTACCTGCATGCAGGCAATATACTCATACACATAAAAGTAAAAATAACAAAATTTTTTTTTTTAATTCCAGTATTACCTGGGTGTGGTGGCACATGCCTTCAGTCCCAGCACTTGGGAGGCAGAGGCAGGTGGATCTCTGTGAGTTCGAGGCCAGCCTGGTCTACATAGTGAGTTCCAGGACAGCTGGGGCTACAGGGAGACCCTGTCTCAAAAAGACCAAAAAAAAAAAAAAATTAATAAATAAAATATTTAAAAAAAGAGAAATAGCTGCTCTTGCAGAAGACCTGGGTTCGATTCCCAGCACCCACATGGCAGCTAACAACTGTTCATACCTCTAGTTCCAGGGGATCTGACACCCACTTCTGACCTCCACAGGCATTGCATGACATGGGTACACTTATAAATGCAGGCAATACATTCATACACACAAAAATGAAAATAAGAAATAAAAAGATTTTTTTTTTTAAAAAATGGAGTATTCCCAGCGCTTGAGAGGCAGAGGCAGGTGGACATCTGTGAGTTCGAGGCCAGCCTTCTACACAGTGAGTTCCAGGCTAGCGGGGGCTACAGAGAGACCCTGTCTCAAAAAGACCAAAAGAAAGAAACAAGCGCTCATGTAGCATAGGCTGGCCTCAAACTCTTGATGTAGCCAAGGATGACCTTTAACTTCTGATCCTGTCTCCTGTGATTACAGGTGTCAACACCACACCTGGTTTATGCAGGACTAGGGATTGAACCCAAGACTTCATATACACTAGCTAGGCAATTACTCTATCCAGTGAGTTATATCTCCAGCTATTGTTTTGTTTCTTGAGACAGAGCCTCATGTTGCTCAAGCTGGCCTCAAAGGTACAATATAGCCAAGGATGACCTTGAACTCCTGATCCTTCTGCCTCTTTCTCCCAGACCCTAGGATTATAGACATGCACCACATGCCTGGCAATAATGGGTTTAATGGCATTTTCATACATGTGTATCACTGAACTTGGCTCATACTCACATACCCCAATCTAAATAATATCTTAACTGTGAGTTCTTAATGTTCACTTACTTGTTCCCATCTTTAGTCCTCAAGTTACTGGCTGTGCCAGGCTGTGTACTAGGGACTGAGTGTGCAGAGATGAACTAAACACACCAGGCCTCTGCCCTCCAGGAGCCCAAGGTACAGTGGGTGTCAGTGTCATTACCATATAGCGAATGCAGCTAAGAAACACACACAGTGCTACCAGAGCCCTAAAGGGAGGCAGTGAGGCCACCCTGGGCACCCAGACAAGCTTTTGCCAGGCAGTAACCCCAAGCTGACTCCCCAAGAATGAGTCTTAGTCAATAAGGAAAGGAGTAGTGTAAGACCTGTGGGCTGTCTCAATAGGTAGAGGTGCTCGGCATTCAAGCCTGATGACTTGATTTCAATCCCCAGAACCCATGTAAAGTTGGAAGGAGAGAACCAACTTTACAATGTTGTCCTCTGACCTCCAGATGCATGCCCACATATCACATACACACCCCATAAGAAAGTTTGTGGGTTTTTAAAATATTTTATTATTATTTTATGCATATGGGTGTAGTGCCTGCATGTGGGTAAGTGCACCTGTGTTGTGCAATGCCCATGGAGGACAGAAGAGACTGTCAGATCCCCTGGAACGGGAGTTACAGATAGTTGTTAGCTGCCATGTGGGTGTTGGTATGCGAACACGGGTCTTCTGCAAGAACAATCAGTGTTCTTAACCCCTGAACCATCTCTCCAGCCCATAAAGTTTGTTTTTTTAGTTGCCTTTTTTCTTTTTTGGCTTTTTTTTTTTTTTTTTTTTTTTTTTTGAGCTGAGGACCAAAGTTTTTTTAAAGAACACAAAATTAGAGAGGCAGGCCAGGTGTGCTGGCACACACCTTTAATCCCAGCACTCAGGAGGCAGAGGCAGGCAGATCTCTGTGAGTTCAGCGACAGCCTGGTCTACACCGTGAGTTCCAGGCCAGCTGGGGCTACAGGGAGAAAAAGACCCCCTCACCCCCCGCCAAAAAAGTCAGAGAGGCAACATGACACAGGTGTGAGACTGCATTCTGAGTTTTTTTTTTTTTTTTTTTTTTTTTTTTTTCTTTTTGAGAAAGGGTCTCCCTGTAGCCCCAGCTGTCATGGAACTCACTATGTAAACAAGCGTGGAATCACAGAGATCCACCTGCCTCTGCCTCCCAAGTGCTGGGATTAAAGGCGTGTGCCACCACACCCGGTCTGCATTCTGAGTTTTAAGAGTACAAAACTGCAGGCCAGGCAGTATGTGAGACTTGACACAAGAGAAGGGTACAAAGACTCACTCCCATTGAGTCTGGACTTGATAGTTCATGGGTTTTGTCAGGATGTGAACTGGCCACATGGCATCCCTTGGCTATAGGAACTCAAGGGAGGCGGGCAGGCTGGAAAGCAGGAGACCAGTAAAGTGCTATGTGAGAATTTAGTGAAGAGATGTTGGGGTCTAAATGTGGCTCCCTGGCAGTGATCATCTGAAGGAGAGACAAGGTGGGCAGAGGTTAATTAGAATCTCTGTCAGACTCTCAGAAGTTTGTACATCCATCCTTTGTCGACCCATGATCCTCAGAATAACAGTTACTGTACAGCTGCAAAGGTGTAAACTCAGCACTATTCCTTCTCAGGCAGGGAAGCCCAACTGATTCTGGGCTGATAGTGCAATGGATTCTGTGTTCATAGTTGGTAACATGGACTCATCAGGACAGAAGGGTGTCCTCTGGTCTCATAGGATACGAGAGAAAAGACAGGAGAGAAGAGACAGCATCTCCCACACTGCCCCTCAGGTATTCTCATGTGAACTTTGCCTCAGGTGTGACCTGAGGACTTTGGCCTAGTGAGCCAGTGGACTTAAAGAAGGAAGGAAGGACTGGAGAAGAAAAACAAGTTCAGAAACAAGCAAAACGTTCAGCCAGGTGAATTCTGAAGTGTGGGCCTGGGCGATATGCCCCACCGGGATAGGGGAGGGTAAACAACGAGGCCAATCTACACACCAGGCACCTTCCATCAAGTGACACATACCCACAGATGACACTGTCAGACCACTTTGCTCTGTCAAGCTGCAACTTCCAACAGCCAAGACTTCAACTTCTAATGCCCAGCAAACTTCTACTGACCCTTTGAGGCCCTGCTCCAGTGTTCTAAGAGCTCTGCCTCTCTCTAGGCCTCTATAAGCTACTCTCTTCTGCACTACCCAACAATCAATTTCTCCCTGGACCTAGAGCTCCCTCGGTGGGTTAGTCCTTTCCCCCCTACAGCCCCACTAACAAAGCCTGGCACAGAGTGGACAGAAGGGCCATGTCTGCCCCTCTCTCTCCCCAACACCACCTTTCCACTGCTTCTCCCCAGCCCTCAGGCGGAGCCCTTGATGGCCACAGCTCTCAAGATCCGGAGGTACTGGCAACTGTACAGGACAAGTCTAGGCACTGATCAATGACCAGGATGAGAAGTGTGCTCCTGGCGAGCAGGGGTGGTGAGAACAAACGGGGAGGCGGTAGACATATAGCCTGTTACGGGCAACTGGTTGAAATGGAGGCAGGGGTTGCAATGGAGGTAGGAGGCAAAGGGCCAGAACAGACTCACGATGAGACTGGAGGGGTGGGGGGCGGTTTCCCCCAGCTGCAACTCCTTGAGGAAGCACAGGTAGGGCGAAACACAGTTCAGTAGTTCGGGACTACCGGTGCCTAAGGTGCTTGGGGTTCACAGGGTTGCGGATATGCGCGCCCCGGGAGCCGGACAAAGCTGTTGCGTGCAGACCCGGAGCGGTGCACAACCAGGAACAGGCTTAACTGTGCTGCACGGTGCAAAGCGGATGCCCGGTGCGACTGTTACCTTTGCAGTTGCCGCCGCCCAGCCCGAGCCCCAGGCCGCCCAGGATGCTCTCGGACTGGCCGTCGGAGTACATGAAGGCCGTGTCCAGCTCGGTGTGGCCACGCTCCAGGAAGGCGCGCACTGACGCGCCGCTGGAGGTCACATCCATACGGCGCCCCATCTCCATGGTGCCCAGCACGGTGGCGGGCCACACCGGGGAGCCCGAGGCGGCCCGGGAAGGCGGTGTACAGGACATGGCGAACGTACGAGCACCAGGTGGCCAGGAACGACGCGCACAGCGCCCCGCAACACAACCCACGGCCAGAGCCGCGGCGCTCAGCATGGGGACTGCGCCTGCGCGCTCGGGGGCCTCGGGTTCCGTCCACACCCCGCGGGGGGCGGAGCGTCGCGTAGGGTAGGGAGCGTGGATAAAGTGTGGCTGCTCCGCCCAGGGACCGTCCGCAAAGTGCTCTGCGGAGGAGGCCGAGCGGCGCGGTCCCCGGGGCGGGGCGGGGCCTCGGCCCTGGATCAGCTGACTCCGGCGGGTACTGAACCCAGAAGCCGGTTCCAGAGACGCATCGCGGATCGTGGTGAGAGGGCCCGGGGGTTGGCTGGGGGTCGGGGCTTCCTGCCGCGTCTTTTCTGCACTCCCTCCTGCAGCCTCTGCACCTTCCCGGGCACCTGTCCCCTCCTGCGGCGCGGGACCCCGGAAAGGTGCCCCCCGGGTGGCCCTTGGGAGCCGGTGGCGTCCTCGCCCTTACCTCGGGAGTATCCAGTATGGCCTCTCAGGCCGGCCTGGCTAGGGATCCGGGTCCAGGTCCCCATTGCACCTGGCCGGCTGACCGGCCTCTTGGTCTCCGGCTGCCTTGTTTTTCTCGGGCGGGGACGGACGGGGGCCTCGCGGCGCTTGCCCCAGCGACTGCCCTGTCATTATCCCTACAAACAGGCGGCCCGCGCTTACCAGGAAGGACTTATAGACCCGGAGTGGAGGCGAGTCCCTCCTCCGGCGCGGTCTTCCATCTGGTGTCTGCAGGGAGGGAACCCAAGCTGCTCCCTCCCACGCTAGGCTTAGGACGCGAGTGTGCAGGTGAAGGTGGGGGTGGGGTGGTTCGAAGAGCGAGCACAGCTTCCGTCACAGGTCTCCTTCAGTTTATATATACTTAGTGCCACTGTGTGATCCTGGGGGCCACAGCGAGAACAGTAATAGCTATCCCCGAATAGTACTGGTTGACTGTATAATGGTTTGCCTGGGTTCTTTTTTAATTTTTTTTAATTGAACTTTTGAGATTTTTATACAATATAGTTTGATGGTATTTAGATCTCCCCTATCTGTTCCTCTCCCATTGCCCCCCACCCAATTTAATGTACTGATATATATCAGGGTCTATAGAATCTGATTTGTGTTCCTAAATGTCCTTCAGTGTGGGTCCATCCACTGGGCCCACCTAGAGTCCCATCCCTGTAAGACAGTGCCTCTCCCCCTCCCAGAAGCCATCAGTTGCCAAAAGTTCCTTAGATTGGGTTGCGGATTTCTTACCCATTTCCTCATGTCTATGCGGGAATTTTGCTGGTTTGAACTTCATAGGACTTGTGCATGCTGTCACCATTGCTTTGAGTTCATTTGCTACCTGACCAGCTGTCTGATTGGCCTGGGTTCTTAGTGAACTTTGCAGTTAGTCCAGTAGTGGGTACCTTTCCTGATTCTCCCATTTTAGGCATCAGTGCACCAGGAATTGTAGGCAACAAGCAGGTTACCTATTCCTCCGCGCTAGGCCCCCTGAGCTCACAAGTTTCCTGCTTCCCCCATCTCCTTTTTCCTCTCCTCCACCCCCTTTCCATGTTTGTTCCTTTTCCTCCCCTCCCCTCCCCTCCCCTCCCCTTTACCATTTCACATATTTTCCTTCTTTAAAATTTTTTTTTTATTATTTTTATTTTATGTGTATAAGTATAAGGCCTGCTTGGATGTAAGTGCACCCGTGTCATGCAATGCTTGAGGAGATAAGAAGAGGGCGTTGGATCTCCTGAAACTGGATTTATGGACGGTTAGCCACCATGTGGGTGCTGAGAACCAAACACAGGTTTTCTGCAAGAGCAGCCAGTGCTCTTAACCACTGAACCATCTCTCCAGCCCCCTTTTCTCTTTCTTTCACCTTTTTTCTCTTCATCATGCTTCCCCCCTCTGCTTTACATTTTCTTAGCCTTTGTTGTGCATCCAGTGAACACAGACCTCGAGAATAGGAAGTGCACAGCCTGGGTGAGGGGAGAGTCAGGCGTCTAAAGAGCAGTGGTTAAAGAAGACTCTTACAAGTCTCCAGGTCTGTGGTCCAGGGGAGATGGGGTGGTGGCTGCAAGGCCTCTTGGAAAGGGCAATTTAGAACTGACTGGAGGTATCTCTTTACTAGGCCTTTGTGGTAGAGAAGGATATTCCTAGAGGAAGCCCCCAGCGTGTGCAGATGCCTGGGACACTGAGGACCAGAGGCAGAAGATAAAGTTAAGAGGGCAGTTACTGGGGTGCTTGTGGCCTTGCCTCAGTGAATGTGAACTTGATCCATTGGTGGATGCTGGATCTGCTTTGCAGGGAAATACCTCCCTGGCTTTGCTTGGAGTTGGAGAGGAGCTGGGTATGGCAGGAGACATTGTCCCTTGCCTGCCTTTCTCAAAATGAACCATGTCAGTCAGAATCATTTAAGAAGATGGAGGATGTAGCTCAGTGGTAGAGCACTTGACCAGCATGCATGAAGTCCAAGTTCAATCCTTGGTATTGAAGGAAAAAAAAAAAAGCAAGTCTTCAAGAAACTGGGAGAGCTGCTTAAACCCAGGATCCCTGCATGCCCCAATTCCTCCTTAACCTGGTGAAACCAGGGAGTGAACTGCCCCAGGGTGGTCCAGATACGGAGTCTCATCTTCAAACTGTGGGTGCAGCACAAGGCTGAGGGCTTTATGTGTGTTTATTATTTTTATTTTATTTTATTTTTTGTCTTTTTGAGGCAGGGTCTCCCTGTAGCCTCAGCTAATCTGGAACTCACTATGTAAACCAGGCTGACCTTGAACTCACAGAGGTCTGCCTGCCTCTGCCTCCCACCCTGGGATTTAAGGTATACACCACTATACTATATATGTGTAGTTTAGAGGGATGTCATTAGCCCCAACTCATAGACAGGCTCAGACAGGTGTTGAGTTGCCAGAGGCCACTCAACATCACCAATAAAACAGGGACACTGTTCCCTACCCTGCCTGGGTGTTGAGGATGGCAGTGTATGGGTGTGTAAATTGCAGTGGTCTGTTTGGAATCTGCAGGATGTGGTGGATGTGCAGTCCAGTGGAGTATGTGTGGCTTGTAGACAAGAGGGCTTGATAAAGCAAAGCTCTTACCTGCACCGTGTTTTAAATCGGGGTGTCAGGTAATTGCTCCCAGCATCAGCTGTGCAAATGGTCATCTGTGCCAGCCACAGATCAGGGAAGAATTCTTCAGTTATTCTGTGTCCTGCCCTGGCGCTGTCTCAGTGAGCTGGTTAGTCAGTGATCTCGGGCGCACTTGTCCCCAGCTCCAGGGCCTCTGTCCATAACTAGTCATGTTAGGGTTGAGAGCTTCGGCTTTCTGGGAAAAGAAGCTGACTTGCTTCCTCTCTATCTCTAATGCTCCCTGGTCACCCCAAGCTCACTCAGCAGTCCTGGGTCCAGCCAGGGTATTGTTCTGCAGGGAGTCTGGCCTCTGCCCCCTGGACACAAGTGGGAACTAAGGTACTGGAACAAGTGTCTGTTCGGATGAAGAAACTCCCTTTCAGCACAGTGAGAAAAGGGGAAGCCAGCTTTACCAAGGGAGCTTCTGCACCCTGAACAGAAGTGCTGGAGGCAGTGGGTCTCCAGTGAGGCCTCTTACTTTGGAGTTTTGACTGTTTCGCTTTCTGGCTGGGTGGCCTTGGAAGATCACTTCCCTAGTCTGGTCTCAGGTTCCTCTGGGATATGTCAGTAATCCCTGCTTCTAGAGGGAGGACAGAATGTGTGAATGCATGCCAGGGTTGGTGGAGATGGCTCCAGCCAGGTCTTGCTTCCTCTCTTCTCTCTCTAGGTTGTTGTGCAGGCTGAGTGACTGTTCTCTGTGTGGGTGCCCAGCCACTGGGAGGGACTCTTTCTGCATGCTTCTGCAATCAGCCATACCCTGCCTTGGGCTGTGACTTCCTTGCTGGTAGGTGCCCTGCATGCCTCACTAGTTCTTGAGGGGTAATGGCTCCAACATCCCATCTTGTTACCTGGGCAACCTTGGGAATTACCTTCTCATTCCTGGAATCTGAGTGATGTGTGGGGCAGCCTTCCCTCCAGTGAGGCCTGGCCTTAGACATCCTGCCAGAGTAATTTACAGTAATGACAAAGAAATAGAAGTGAAGCTGGGCGTGGTGGTGCATGCCTGTAGTCCCAGCACTTGGGAGGCAGAGGCAGGCAGACCTCTGTGAGTTCAAGGCCAGCCTGCTCTACATAGTGAGTTCCAGGTCAGCTGGGGCTGCAGGGAGACCCTGTATCAAAAAAAAAATTGAAGTGGGTGGGAGTGGGATTGTAGTGATGGCTCAGTAGTTAAGAGCACTGGTTACTCTTTTCAGGACCCAGGTTCAATTCCCAGCACCCATATGACTAACAACCGTCCATACCTCCAGTTCCAGGGGAATCTGATGCCCTTTTCTGACCTCCAAAGGCATTGGACAACACAGGTGCACTTACATGCAGGCAATACACTCATACACATAAAATAAAAATAATAAAAAAAATTATCTGGGCATGGTAGTACATGTCTTTAATCCCAGCACTCCTGAGGTAGAGGCAGGAGGAACACTGTGAGTTTGAGGCCAGCCTGGTCCTCATATCGAGTTTTCAAGCCAGCTGGGGCTATAGGGAGACCCTGACTGAAAAAGACCAAATAAATAAAATAAAAAAAAGAAAGATGTGGGCCTGGTGGTGCAGGCCTGTAATCCCGACACTGACTGTTTGAAGCAGGAAGATTGAAAATTAAAGCCAGCTTGGGCAATTAGTGAGACCCTGTCTCAGAAAAAAAGTGCTGGGGATAGAGCTCTAGCCTAGCATGTAAAAGGCTCTAGGTTTGATTTCCAGCATAGGAAAATAAATCCACACATTCACAAGTTATAGCAAAAGATGCCATTGATACCCAGGCCCACCTACTCTGCAGATGAACTTATTTAGCTGGCACAGCAGCTACAAGAGGTAGGGCCTGGCATTATTCCCATTGTGTAGAAGCCCAGGCCAGCTGAGGTCACAGCTCATGGAAGGAACTGGACCTCCTAAGACTGAAGACTTCCTCTTTTCCTCCCTCTAGAACAAACCTTCAACCAGCCTTGGAACTCTTGCCGGCATCCATACACCTGCACCTTCTTCCCGGCTGGGGCCCTTCTGCAGCCATGGTCTGGAGAACACTGGGCATCGGCAACTTCTCCATCTGCCCCAATGGCTCCAGCCAGTGGATCTGGGATGTGTTTGGCGAATGTGCCCAGGATGGCTGGGACGAGGCCAGTGTGGGCCTGGGCTTGGTTTCCATTCTCTGTTTCGCTGCATCCACCTTCCCGTGAGTATCGCTGTGTGTCAGGAGCAGGTGGGGCTGTGGGGTGGGTAGTAGTTGCACGTACTGCACAGAGGGGCTGCCTGGCTGGTCATGGGTCAACTGGATTCCAGGCCAGATAGACTCCTTCCCTTCCCCAATCACATTCACTGACATAGAGCCTGCTGCTAGGGGTGGGGTGGGGTGGTTACATGGAATCTAGGCGGGAGCCTCATGCTGTACAATGCTGATGCTAAAATAGTAGTATTTGCTACTTTTTTTTTTTTTTTTTTTTTTGGGGGGGGGGTCTTTTTGAGACAGGGCTTCCTT